GGAGAGGCTGCATAAACCTTTTTCATACAAAGCAATCTAGATAGTTTGGCACCTAGCTCTCAAAATATTAGCATATAGGTACAGAGAGTGATTAGGAAGGCAAATGGAATATTGATCTTTATTGCAAGGAGAATTGAGTATACAAGAAAGAAAGGGTGGTTATAGCTATGCAGGACTTCGTGAGACCATATATACAGTGCTATGAAAAGGTTTGGTCTCCTTCAGGAAGGATATAACTGCGTTGAAAGCAGCTCAGTGAAGATTTGTTCACTTTGCTGACTCCTAAGTTGAAGGTATCTTGTGAAGAAAGGTTTAACAAGATGGATGTATACTCACTGGAGTTTAAAATAATGAAATGTGATCTAATTGAAACATACAAGATCAACGGGGCTTGATGCTGGGAGGATATAAAACTATTTCACGAAGAGAAGTAAGTGAGGAAGTAAATTTAAAATGTAAGGGACCTTCCATTTAAGATGAGATGAGGAAGATTTTTCTTTCCTGGAGGGCTTTAACATTAGGAATTCCCTTCCCCAGAATGCAGTGGAGGCTGGGTCAGTGAACATATTCAAAACTGAGTTACCCAGACTTTTGATTGTCAAGAGAATCAGAGGTTATGGATACGGAGTTAAAATCTGGCATCATCACCCCATCTTCTCAAATAAATAAGCGTCCTTGAAAATTACTAGTTACATCTTAGCTACATTTTTTTAAAAATAAAGTCTTTGAGCATGTTGTTGATCATGTAAATTTGAGTCCCATTTTCCAAAACTCCACATTTGAATTCCTCTACTCAGGTTTACAACCCTATTGCAGTCCTAAAACATTTCAAATGAAAGTCACAAATGACATCATAATGTAAATACGACAAAGGTAAACTATCGCTCTTTGTCCTTCTCGTTGGTCAGGAGCTTTGCACAAGGTTGACCACACCATCTTCTCGTAACACCTCTCCACTTCTCTAGCTATGTGAGACTGCATTTGTTTGTTTCCACTTTTCATTATATTATCATAGCTAGAGTATCAATTACTGTTCCTTTTCCCACTCCATTTCCTCTAGGATCTCACAAGGATCAATCATTGAATAGAATCATAGAACCCCGACAGTGTGGAAAGAGGCCCTTCTGCCCATCAAGTCTGCAAAGACCCTCCAAAGAGCATCCCACCCTATCCCTGTAACCTCATGGCTAATCTAGCCAGCCTGCACAGCCCTGGACATCATGTGGAAATTCAGCATTGCCATTCCCATAGCCTGCACATCTTTGGACTGTGGGAGGTAACCAGAGCACACAGGCACGGACAGAACATGCAAGCACCATACAGACAGACAGTCACCTATGGCTGGAATTGAACTCAGGTCCCTGGTGCTGTGAGGCAGCAGTGCTAACCACTGAGTCACCATGCTGCTCTTAATCCTTTGCCCCTTTATTTCTTGACCCCTTATTTCTCATCCACATTCTGCGTTTTAGAAACATCACTTGAAATTGCACGTTAGTTATCATATATATGTTGGCCACAGCTAGGTCTACCTCACTGCCAACTCTCTCACTATTCAAGTGCTGATTGATTAGCAGACTGCTTATCCGACATCTAGGATTGGATGAGCATAAATTCCCTCTAATTATTCTAAATTGTCCACATTAGAACTAAGAAAAAGCAATGAATGAAGAACTTAAGTGTATAAAAAAGAATCAGAATATCAATGCAACAAGTGTCATGTTACATATTAATGGCCAGTTACTGCTGATTGACATACGATGAGAATGACTATAATGTCAGCCACTATAGAAAAAATATGAATCAAAGCTTACCAAAGAATGGCACACATGGAGGATTGATGGATCTGAGTTTAGCCAAATACTTTTTATAGTGATCTTCACTCAATTCATGAGCCTCTTCTAAAATTTTCTTTTGACGACTTGGTATTTGCTATGAATGTAAGCAATGCAGAACATACACTTAGGAGCTGGCATTGATAAAAATCCATTTGATCTAATCAACTTTATTTTCTAATTACAAAGCTACAAACCTGGTCAATACTAAATTTGGACTTGATCAAATTGCTTTTGGAATGCTTTTGTGGGGTATTCAATATATTAATGGTCAAATATGAAAAAGTTATCCCCTAAGCAATAATCAATTTGTGGTTTTTCAATTTATATATCACATCCTTTGGTGTTCCAGCCTGACTTTGCACAAAATACACTTTTACTTCAAGTTCATTCCCTACGTAAGTTTAAAGCTTAACCTCCAGTTGTTAAATTTATTATGGTTAAAAAAGCATGGAATTAACATTTTACCATTTCTCATTGCCAAATAAAATTAATTTTTGCAATGGTTGCTGAATCATTTCCATGGCTTCTTCAGTATAGTGACCATGAACGTAAACAATACTTCAGGCAAGAGATCAATTAACTTCATAAAGTATTAATAATAGTTATTTGCTTCAGGCTCTATGGAACAACTTGGACTGAATTAACACAACACTTTTAATGTTGCTTCTTAAGTATAGTAATATTTTGAAGTGACACTGAAGAATGGCACATAAGCTGGATCTATAGTAGTATCATAATGGTTTCAATCCTAACTGTAGATCTTAGGCCACAGCATAAATGTTGCTTTTTGCTGCTCAGGTCCCAAACAGCAAAGTTCAGCAGCATTGAGGAGACAACATTTTTGCTAAAACTCATCAGTAAATTATCCCTCTTGCAACAGCATTAGGTAATGTTCATGCCACACAGTGGCAGGTAATAGCCATCCTCAAAAGACAAAATCTAACGACCATCCCTCGACATTCAATGTCATTACCATCGCTGAATCCCCCACGATCAACATTCTGGGGGGTTACCATCGAACAGGAACTGAACTGCACCTCTCATAAATAAGGTGGTTACACAAGCAGGTGAGAGGCTAGGAATTCTGTGGTGAATAACTCCTGTCTTCCAGTGCTTGTCCACTGACTCAAATCAGAAGCATGACAGTATATTCATCACTTGCCTGGATAAGTGCAGCTCCGACAACACTCAAGAAACTTGGCACCCATCCAGGGCAAAGCAGCCATTTGATTCGCACTGCATCCACCGACTTCAATATTTACTCCCTTCGCCAATGATTCCTGATGGCAGCTGTGTGCATCATTTATAAGATGCACTGCAACATCTCATCAAGGTTCCTACTTCAGCATCTTCCAAAGTCCCGAACTCGTGCCATCCAGAAGGACAAGGGTGGCAGATGTATTGGAACAGCATCTCCTGCAAGTTCGCCTCCAAGCCATCTGGACTTGGAACTATATTGCCATTCCTTCACTGTCACTAGGTCAAAATCCTGGCAAGTCCTTAACAGCATGTTGGGTGTCACTCCACCGATTACTGCAATGGTTCAAGGCAGGGGCTTGCCATCACCTTCTCCAGGCCAATTAGGCATGGGCAATAAAATGCTTGCCAGTGATGCCCACAATCCATGAACACATTAAAAAAAAACTCATGCTTTCAAATTATAAGTGTGTTAAAGGATTAATAGGTATGCATGCATCATGATGCTATAATATTGTTGCCAAAAAATTCCTGAAAATTTCAGATTAAGATTTGAAGATGACAATGTAAATGCATTCTCAAATTTGAAAAGAACTGTAGTGATTTTGTCTGAATGCATTCTTACCCACTATAATAAAACAAATAACTACAGATGCCGGAGATCTGAAACAGAAACAGACACTGTTGGTGAAACTCAGCAGGTCTGTTGGCATCTGAGGGGAGAAAACAGTTAATGTTTTCAGTCTGGTGACTGTTCATCAGACCTGGCAGCAGCTAGAAACAAAAAGGCTTTATTTTTGTGTGTGTGTGTGTGTGTGTGTGTGTGTGTGTGTGTGTGTGTGTGTGTGTGTGTGTGTGTGT